AGCGGCGGCCACCGGCGGGCTGCGCGCGCCACTCGCGCCGCGCCTGCGCCCCGCGCGCCACGACGCCGCGAGCCCGCCGCCACTCGCGCCCGCGCGCGGCCTGCGCCCCAGAGAAGCGCCGAGCGAAGAGGCAGCCGGGCCCGGGGCACGACGGGAAGGGGCGGGGCCGGCCAAGTCTCGCGAGCCCTCCGGGGCGAGAACGGCGCGCGCCCCGGCAAGTACGGAAGCCGGGTTGGGCCTCGCGCCCGCTTCTAAAACTGGGGTGGGGGGAGTACGCGGGGCGCGAGGGGCGCGTCTCCGGGCCGGGCTTCCGGGTCTGGGCCCCCACGCGGTGTCGGCACCCGCTCGCCTGCGGTCACGGTGCCCGGGCAGCCCCGCAGCGGGCGCTCCCTGGACCTCGGGGAGGGCTGGCAGTGTCGCCCCTCTCGGCGACAGGGCAGGGGCAGGGGCAGCGCGGGCGTCCCAGGCGACGCAGCAACCATTTTAAAGCATCTCCCACCATTTTGTGTGTTCCCACCCGGAGAAGCGGCCGTCATTGGTTCCCGGCCAGAGCCCGGGGTCTCTGCCTTTCCGCAGGGACAGCCCGCTCCGAAGGAAAACGGGGAATGTCGGGTCGTAGCCCCCGCCTGAGCTTTGGGGGGTAGGGGGGATGGAGGCCAGGCTGAGGCCCCTGCTGACGACGGACAGGGTTTGTCTTTCCCCAGATGAAGCGCAGCAGCACCTCGGCGCTAACACCGGCTCCTCCGGTGAAGTGCACGTGAAGCAGGCTCAGGAACAGCAAAAGTCGGGCTGGAAAAGGCCCAAGGGGCTGCAGCCTCCTCACCCCCATCACCAAAAAATGAAAAGGAACCCGGAAGGGAGCTCAGATAGAGCCTACCGCCCTCCGAATGCCCTGGATTGGAACTGCAAATAAGAAAATAGGAAAGGGGCTGGAGCAATAGTTAGGTGGGTGGGATGTTTCATCCCCATCAACCAATATTTTATCCCCAGCAACACATATGGCCCCAGAGCACCACCAGGAGTGATCCCTGAAACCCCTGGATGTGGCCCAAAAACCTAATAATGAGAGGCCATAGGGATAGTGTAGCAGGTAAGATGCCTTGCTGACCCGTTGGGTCTCGAGGACCACACACTGTCACTGTCACTGTCACTGTCCTCCCGTTGATCATCGATTTGTCTTTTGGGCTGTCCAATACTCAGGACTCACTCCTGATGAGATGGTCCTCACACAGGGTCCCCCTAAATCTCATCAGGAGTGAGTCCTGAGTATGGGACAGCCCAAAAGACAAAAAATAATACAGAGAATAGAAAGTGCTGCCCCCACCCCAAACTGCAATGTAGTGTCCCACCAGTGGGTCAAAGACAGCTGCCGGCTTTGCACAAGGGAGCCCCCGCGGGCTGCATGCTGGCTCTGCGTAGGATCAAGATGACCAAGCAGGCTCAAGCGCCAAAACCAAGCATGGGAACACCCAGGGGTGCTGAGTAGGGGGGAGAACTTCCGTGTACACTGGGCCAGGGCTGCGGAAGACTCCGCTTCTCAGTGGTCCCATTTGGGAGCCCGGCAAATCCTGGCAAGTCAGTTCTCTGCTAGAAAAGGTGAACGATCCCCACCGAGCCAGAGTTGGGCTGTGGTGTGAGTCGGACGAGACAAAAGGCGTGACTCTGGAAACTCCCAAGGGGGTTATTATTGTGAGACGAGACAGCGTTTGGAGATGGAGCTGTAAAGGCAGCCGCCGGGAGGGCCGCTGGTGAATCCTCAGCAGTCGGTGGTGACAGTGGCCGAGAGCTCCTGGATGCGCCAGGCACTGCAGGTCTTGCACAGGATGTGCCCGTCCAGCGGGTAGCAGCCCTGGCATTCCCCCTCAGAGGACAACAACAGCCCACACTCCTGTGGGGGGAGAGAGAGAGAGAGAGAGAGACTAAACAGTTCTGCCTCATCCGACACCCCCGACCGGATGAGTCCCCTTTGCCCCTTCACCCACAGCCCCTGACCTCGCACTTGTAACATCCGACATGGAAACTGCGGTCCAGGGCCACAATGCGCACCGTTTCTTCCTGCCCTGGCTCGGGCATAATGGCACCGCCACATACAGAGCACCGTGGGGCAAACTTCCTGGGGCGGAAAAGAATCCAAAAGAGTTGAGCGGGGAGGAGGAAGGGGAGGAAGGAGGAGGCTGGGCTCATGGGGGCAGGGGACGGTAAGGTTCATCCTGTCCCACGACAGGCAGGGCCCGGGCCTGACCTGTGGAAGTCCTCAATGCAGTGGATCTGGCTGGTGGCGTCCACTGTGAAGGGGATCCCATCGAGGCCGCGGTGGCAGACCACACAGGTGAAGCAGCCGGGGTGGTAGGCCTTGCCCATGGCCCGCAGGATCCGGTCCAGGATGGGCTGGGAGCAGGTGGAGCATTTTTCCAGGGTGGCCTGGGGGGTGGAGGGGAAGGAGGTTGGGGGGCTGAGGAGCGCCCTGGCAGCCTGCCCGGCTGTGTCGTTCCCCCAGCATGTGATTGGGCTAAAAGTCACCTCGAAGTGGTTCCTGTCCCTCATCCTGTCCACTTTCGGTCTAACATTTCTCAACGACCCCACCTCCACTTTTTACTGCTGCGCCACGCCCAGCTGCGCCCAGGGCTTGCTCTGAGCTTAGGGTACCGTTTGCAGCACCGGAGGAACACTGGGGTGGGCCACACGCAAGGCAAGCGCATCTCTGGGGCCCTTCAGCGCCCCCCGGTGTGTGTCAGCGCTCATGTCCCCGCCGGGAAGGCGCAGCTACCTCTCTGGGGTCTGGACACGCCCCCCCTCCCCCACGCAAGCCGGCCTCCCCCTTGGTCCGCAGCCCCCTCCCCACTCACCACATAGCAGTGCTCGCAGTACGCCCTCCTCTCCACGGCATAGAAGTGTTGGCCCCGCAGCTGCGCCCCACACGTGGCGCACACGAAGCAACCGACGTGGAAGACGCGGTCCAGGGCCACCACTCCGGCCCCATCCCCGACCACGTCCTCTCCGCAGCCGCCACACCGGCCTGCGGACCAGCAGGGGCAGGGTCAGCGTGCACAGCACCCCGCCCCTCCTCCCCTCTGCCCGCGGCTCTGCTCACCGAAGTACTCGCCGCTGGGAGGGTGGTTCATGTCCTGCACCAGCTTCTTGGTCAGCCGCTCCAGCTCCAACTCGGGCGGCTGATTCAAGGGACCCTGCAAGGCGGGGACCCATTACCCACAAGCCTCGGCTGAGGCCGTCTTGGCCCCGGGCCCGGGCGCCACTATCTGTAGGGACCCCCACACCCCAGTGCCCGGGGCTCACCTGGGACCCGTAGCCGCTGCTCCTTCCAGGGCCAGTGACCACGGCTGTGTCCTCTTTGACCCCCGGGCCTGGCTCCCTGCGGCTCCTATTATAGCCAGCCCCCCAGACTTCACCCCGGCCTGAGAGCGGAAAGTGGGGGCCCGGGAGGGGCCCGGCGGCCTGAGAGGCCCCCCGCCTGGGGGGGCCACAGCCTCGCACGGGCTGCGCCACCTTGACCTGCACGGGAAAGGCGGGCCCAGCGGGGGTGCTGGCCGTGGTGTAGGAGGCTGGAGTGGGGCCCCCGTAGGGACACGTGGGGAGCAGCGGGGGAGGAGGGGCCCCTCCATTCAACTTTAGGGGGCAGGCGCCTGGGCGGTAGGCAGGGGGCTGCGGGGGCTCATATGCCTGTGAAGGAAAGCAGACGGGGTGGGAGCTGAGTCAACCCCCAACACCCCTCTAGGTCCCCCCAACCCCCAAAGAAAACTGGGGTTGACAGGGTCCTGCCCCTCACTGAGTCAGCTTTGGACCCAGCTGTTCCCCCTACCCCGCTCTCCAACCCTGGCCTTGCAGGGAGGATGGGGTGCGGGGAGAGACCAGGCCGACTGGGGCTCACCTGTCGCTCTGGCCGCCGTCCTGGGTGGCCACGACCCCCGTCCAGCTCGGCCAACATGCTGGTAAGCGAATCAATCTCGGCATCCAGACTTCCGGGACACAAGCCCCCTCTGTCTGGTGGCAGCCCCTGAGGTGGGGGGGGGGGGTGCAAGCGCAATGTAACCCTCACACCTTCACTCTGGCCCCGCTGACCCCCTCCTGCCCGCCCCTCCGGTTCTCACCTGCGAGCGCTGGGGTGTTCCATGGCACCCCACCCAGGCCAGCCCCCGCTCCTCCGGACCCCCGGGGACCTGGTAGCACTGCTCAGACGGAAGGGGGCAAAAACTGACCCTGGGGTGGGGCTGGAGTGCTGGGGGGGAGGGAAAAGAGCAGAGGTGGGGCTTGGGAAGATGAGGGTGACATTTGGGGACACCACCCTCGAGTCCCAGGAGGGGGCTGGCGGGCAGGGGCGGCGCCTGGGCGATGGGCCCCGGGGGTGGCACCACGGGGGCGCCTTACCTGCTCCGTGGGCCGGCGGGGGCCCCGGGGCGCCCCGGGCGAGTGCTCTCCCGTGGAGGGCCCTGGCGGGCTCCGGCTGCTTCGGGGGGAGCCAGGTGGGACCCGACATGGCCAGGGACCGGGGACTCCAGGCCCCCGCGGAGCCCGGGGCCTCCGGCCTTCCCCCTCCTTCTGTCCCACACTCGTTAGGAACTCCAGGAAAGAAACTTTTCCTGGCCTTTTTTTTTTTCCCTTCCTCCCCAATTTTGGGGACGACCACGCCCCCGGTGACGTAACCGCATTCCTGGGGAGGGTCACGTGACCCCAAGTCCCCTCCCCCCGGTCGGGCCCCCTCCTGCCGAGCCAGCGGCCGGGGCTGCGCTCCCGGGCGTCCTGCCAGGGCCCGCAGGGGGGACCAGGACGGGGGCAGGGGGTACCGCCCCCTCCAGTAGTCCAGTAGGCTCCGCCCCCTCCAGTCGGCCCCGCCCCGGCCGCGGGGGACCCCCCCCACCCCGTCCCACGGGCCCGCCTCCCCCCGCCCAGCAGTGCGGGGCCAGCTTAGTGTTTTGCTCTTTTATTATTCACGATCCGCAGTTAGAAAAATAAAACAGAACAACAGCAGCCGCGGGGGCCGGCGGGGGAGCCCGAGGTAGCCCCGACCCGAGGAGCCCCGGCTCCCCCCCAGCAAGGCACCGGTGAAGGGCGGGAGGGGGCCCCCGCCCCGCCCCCGCCGGGCCGCGCGGCCGCGGGCGGGATCCCTGCAGTCCACGGGCCGGGGGCTGCCCCTGGCCCCGTGGGGGCGGCCTCAGATGTCCGTGCACGTGACGGGGGTGACGCCGTGGATGAGCAGCGTGGGGCCCAGGTCCCGGGTCAGGAGCTCCAGGAGCGCCAGGTAGCGCGGGTAGCGGGCCGGGTCGGCGGGCGGCCGCGGCAGGTAGAGGAAGGTGAGCGCCGTGGCGGGCCCCTCCGGGCCGGGGCCGCCCTCGGGCCCGCCAGGCCCCGCGCCCGCCCGGCCGCGCCCCTGCTGCGCGCGGAGCAGCGCGTTGGCGCTCAGCGCCAGCGCCTCGGCCTGGGCGTCCCCGAGCCGGCCGTTCACGAAGTCCCCTTCCTCGTCGTCGGCGTCCTCTGGCGCCGCCGCGTCGCCCCACGGCACCTCCTGCACCTCGGCCCGGATCCGCAGCTGACTCAGCAGCGCCCGGAGCCGGCCCTCAGCCGCCCCGGGGGCCTCCCGCGGCCCCAGACACAAGAAGATGCGGAGCCGGGCGCTGTGCCAGGCGGGCACCATGCCCAGGATGGTCGCCATCTGCAGCAGGAAGAGGCCGCACACGTCCACGTAGCCCGGCCCGCCGCGCGGTCGCAGGAGGTTGAGGGGCCACACGTCCACGTGGTGCGGCGTGGACGTGCCCCTGGAGCCCTGGCCCAGCCGCTCGGGGGGCAGCGCCCCACAGGCCCGCGCCAGCACCACGTTCTTGTTCATCTTGAGGGCGTCGGCCACCGTGGCCACGTAGTCCTGAGGACTGAGCGCGCGGGGGCTCCCGGGGGCCCGGGGTGGTGGGAACAGGGTGCTGAGCGCCGGGACCCCGCCCTCCCGGGCTCCATCTGCAGCCTCTGAGAAGGCAGGGTCGCTCAGGAAGTGGTCCTGGGGGGCGGCGTCATCGTAGAAGCCCAGGACCAAGGTGTTGGGCTTCATGCCACCTGGGGGGGCAGAGGGAGGGCGTGGGAATCAGACTCCACGGTGGCCCCCCCACCGCGGGGTCACCCACCCCCTGGGGTTGCCCTCCTGGCTCCCAGAGGCCATGGAGGGGATCTGACACTTTTACACACATCTGCATGTCCCCCAGGGGATGCAACCCCACTCCAAGCTTCTAGGGGCACCCATTTCTCCAGCATGCACCCAGATCCCTCTATGGGATCCCACCCCATCAGCCTCTCTCCCTCCCCCTCCACCCACCCCCGCAGAGTCAGGCCCCCATACCCACGGCGGCAAGTTCCCTAATGGTGCCCTGGCAGCCCATGTAGGGGACAAGAAATGCCAGAGGTCACACTCGTTCTCTCCTTTTCCAGGGCCCAGGGCAGTGAAGTCACTGGCCCCAGGCTCCAGGCCAGCCCTGGGACCCAGCTCAGAGTTTCTGAACTCCAAGTCCCTGCTCTAAGTATTTGTTTTGGGATTAGAATCTGCGGGGGAGGGGCCGGAGCAATAGTACAGCAGGGAGGGTCTTCCCTTGTATGCCACTGACCCAGGTTCTATCCCCGGCATCCCCTATGGTCACCTGAGCACCGCCACCAATGATCCCTGAGTGCAGAGCCAGGATAAGTCTGACCATCGATGGGCAGGTGTGTGTGGCCCAAACACAGGCAAACAAGTTGAGGGGTGGGATCCCTACTCCTGTTCATGTTTTGGGGGACTGCTTCTGGTGATGCCAGGGATGGAACACAGGCTTCCTGGTTCAAAGCTGGCAGAGCTCAGCCTTCGTTTCTTTTGTTCGGTTTGGGCGCCACACCTGGTGGTTCTTGGACTTACTCCTGTCTCTGCAGTCAGGAATCACTCCTGGCAGTGCTCGGGGGACCATATGGGGTGCTGGGGATTGAATCCAGGTCAGCCCGTGTGCAAGGCATATGCCCTCCCCGCTGTTCTTAGGCTCAGACGCACTCAGCCTTTTGAGCTGTCTCCCGCCCATGGTTTTTAGGACCACTGTGGGGCTCACTCCAAGCTTGTTCCAGGTTCACTCCAGTGAAGTCCAGGGGTACTCAGCAATGCTGGGGGTGAGACCTGGGCCTCTTGCCTGTAGAGCCTGTTCTCCAGCCACTTTGAAGCGCCCCCACCTCCAACCCCAGTCCTAGTTGAAAGCTTAGAATAGGGGCCAGAGAGTAAGGCCAGGAATTTGCCTCCCGAACCACTGCCAGGACTAACCCCTGAACAGAACCAGGAGGAAGCCCCAAGCAGTGCTCGGAGTACACCCCAAAACCAAAGGAATGTGAACAGCTGGTCTAAAATGGAGTCAGGGGGCTGGAGCAATAGCACAGCGGGTAGGGCGTTTGCCTTGCACGCAGCCGACCTAGGTTCGATTCCCAGCATCCCATATGGTCCCCCGAGCACTGCCAAGAGTAATTCCTGGGTGCATGAACCAGGTGTAACTCCTGTGCATCGCCGGGTGTGACCCAGAAAGCAAAATAAATAAATAAATAAAATGGAGTCAGTGAAATCTCCAGGCTCTGTGGGGTCTGGGATGGGCTACCTTCCCCCACCTCCCTGCACCTCCAAAAGCCCTGGCAGTCACGTCCACCCCAAAGCCACCACCCAGTTGCAAACTATAATACACAAAAGGACAGAAAGAGCAAGAAGAAAGGTGTCTGTGATAGAGGCTGACAGGGTTGAGGAGGGATGCAGGGATGGGAAGGGGGGGTGAAAGGGAAACTTCGGTGGCGGGAAATGTACACTGGTGGAAAGATGGGTGTTGGAACATTGTATGACTGAAACCTAATCGTGAATAGCTTTGTGATGGTCTATGGTCTATTTCATGGTGATTTTTTTAAAAAAAGTAAAAAAAAAATTTTTTTTTTAAATAAATGGAGTCAGTCCCCATTGAGTAGGACTGCACATCCAAGCTGTCCCCCTATCTCAAATTCTAGCTGGAGGCAGTCCTCCTGTTGGTTCGAAGGCTGAAGAGACAGCGAGTCTTCCCCTAGGCTGGGTCTAAACTCGCTCGACAATGAGATGCCTCTCATACTCAGGCAGGGGACGCAGCAGCTCCTTGTGCCCAGCCCTTTTCCCAGTGGAGTCCTGGGGGCAATGTCCACCATGCTGAACCTTATTCTGATCTGGCTTATGCACAACCAGATTCTAAGCAGAGCAGCAGGCCTTGGTGAGGAGACAACATGATTCAGGGTACCAGCAAGGAGGCAGTCGAGCAGGGACTCGCTGGAGACGGGGGTACAAGACAGGGGCCTGGACACTCACTTAGACACAGCCCCAAAGCCAGGAAGTGTCCACTCCCTCCCAGAGTAACAGCCCACATCCTCAGCACCATGCAGTCTCTGGGGCCAGGTCACACCACTGTCCCCTCTTCCAGGGCCAGCTGTGAGCCCGCCGGGGCACAAACGCTCTGCTGCCCACAGAGGTGCCCACTGGCCCTCCTCTCGCCGAATCCATCCACGGAGAGATCAGTTGCATGGACTGGACAGCCCCATTCCCGTTCCCACAAGCTGCCACTTGCCCTTCAGAGCCTGAGCCCCATGTTTGGGCCAGGAAAAAAAGTCAAAAGACCAACAGAGGGGCTGGAGCTATAGGGCATTTGCCTTGCACGTGGCCGAACTGGGTTCGATCCCCAGCATCCCATTACACCGCCAGGAGTAATTCCTGAGTGCAGAGCCAGGAGTAACCCCTGAGCATCGCTGGGTGTGACTCAAAAAGCAAAAAAAAAAAAAAAAAAAGACCAACAGAAACAAAAACTCTCCCCACCACGGCGGCCACAGCCTCCACTTCCCCTCGGGGACCGCATCCCACACGCTGGCTATCTCTGTAAGCTGGGCGCTTATCTGCCCAGACGGCCAGTTCCTTTTGCAGTTTGCAATCTGTGGTTTATGCCCGCGCAGGGCTGGGGGTGGGGGCCAGAGATTGGGAGGGATGCACAGAGTAGGCTGGGCAGGGACGGGGAACACGCAGAACAACTCACCAAGGCCTGAGATCCGCAGCAGGTGCTGGGCCCCCTGGCGCACGGAGGGCGAGAGGGTGAGGTCCACAAAGGCCTTCACCTGGGCCCGGTCCACCAGGCTCAGCCACGCCCCGTACTGCGGCTGCACCGGGTCCGACGGCAGATAGTCTACAGCAGGAGGGCAAGGAGGCAGCCAATGGGGGGCCGGCTCAGGCCTTTCCTTCCAGAACCCCGATCCCCAGGGGTGGCAGAAGAAAAGGGCCTGGGGCTAGAAGAGAGACATACAGAGACAGAGAGAGACACAGAGAGAGACACGGAGACACAGACAGAGACATAGAGACAGAGACAGAGATAGACACGGAGACAGAGACAGAGACAGAGACATAGAGAGACACAGAGACAGAGACATAGAGGCAGAGAGAGACATGGAGACAGAGACATAGACACAGCAAGAGACAGAAACACAGAGACAGAGAGATAGAGGCAAGGAGACAGAGACATAGAGACACACAGAGACCGAGAGACAGAGACACAAACAGAAACACAGAAGCAGAGATACAGAGAGAGACAGAGACATAGAGAGAGACACAGACAGAGACAGGGAGATACAGAGAGAGACACAGAGACAGAGACACACAGAGAGAAACAGAGACACTCACACAGACAGAGACATAAACACACCGAGAGACAGCGAGAGGGCGCGGACAGGCAGCAGGCAGCTCACCAAGGTCCCCCAGCGTGACGTGGCCCAGCACATAGAGGCCCCCTTTCTTGAGCTGGTTGGCCAGGCGCAGCAGAGGCAGAGCCCCCCGCGGGTTGCCCACCAGAAGCAGCAGCTGTGGCCGCCAGAACTTCACATGGTCCTTCCGGACGTCCAGGCGGAGCAGGTACTTGCGCACCTGCAGACGGGGCAGCGCTGGGGGGACGGAAGGGCCCGGTCCGCAGCACCCCACGGCCCTCCCACCTCTCCCCCGCCCCCCACCCTCCTCCGAGCTCCCTCCCCACCCCCCACCTGATGGAAGAGCAGGGCCTGGCTGACGTAGCCCCAGCTGCTGGGGCCGCCGCGGGCGGTGAGCAGGGCCGAGAGCAGACCCATGAGGAGCAGGGAGCCGCCGGCCGCGCCAGGGCTGATCAGGAACATCATGAGCAGGCAGGAGGCCACCCCCAGCAGGCAGGTGTGCCAGGAGAACAGGCTGAAGGTGGGGCTGGGGAGAAGGGAGGGTCTCAGGCCACGCCGCACCCGGCCCTGTGTCTCCCAGCCCCCAGTCTCTCCTGGGGAAACAGGCCTTCCCTCTCACCGGAAGTTGGGGGCCGAGGCCCACTCCAAGCTCAGGCAAGACAGGTCCACTGCAGCATAGGCCACCAGGTAGAAGACGGTGACCACAGCAGCCAGTGTGTTCAGTTTCCCTGCCAGGAGCACCAGCTGCACGAGAACACAGGGCTGAGTGCATGCTTCACAGGCAGGAGGTGGGGGCGTTCGTCTCCAGCATCACAGGGCACACCAAGTACCACTGAGTAGCCCCCCCCAACAGCCCCTGAGTACTACCAGTCATAGCCCCCAAGCCCCCATCCAAAAAAAAAAAAACCTAGATTAATAAAAGAACCCATGGGGCCGGAGTGATAATACAGTGGGGAGGGCGTTTGCCTTGCATGCAGCTGACCCAGGTTCAATCCCTGGACTCGCATATGGTCGCCCATGCACCACCAGGAGTAATTCCTGAGTGCAGAACCTGGAGTAACCGCTGAGCATCGCCAGATGTCACCCAAAAAACAATAAATAAAAATTTAAAAAATAAAAGAACCCAGGAACTAACTGATATTAATCCAACACACACACACACACACACACATCAAAGCATCACACTCCTCTGTGTCATGCATTCCAGCCTGCGTCTGGTCCAGGTAACACACAGAGGACCAGGAGTGGCGGGGGGAGAGAGCAGGAGGAAGACTCACCTGCACGAGACCCCAAGAATACAGCACAGCCCCCCACGGGTTCCCGCCTCGGGATACCACCTTCGCAGGCGCCAAGATCACTCCTGTAATGGGACAGAGCGGTCAGCCAGGGCTGAGGGGACGCAGACACACAGCCACAGGAGGGACGCCGGGAGGAGGGAGGCACACACCGAAGAGATCGTCCTGGGCCAGGGCATGCAGAATGCGGGAGGCGCCGATGAGGGAGCTCATGGAGGCCGACAGCGAGGCGGCATACACGCCAATGAGCACCAGCGGGGGCCACAGGCTGATGGCCCGGAAGAAGCCATAGTCCTCCTGAAGCAGGGTCCTGTAGGGAGCAGGGCCGAGGCTGAGAACAGGCCTCTAGGCCGCGTCCTCTTGACAGCGTGTCAGGCTGCTGGCTGGACGTCCTTCAGTGCCCCAGCCGGGTCCTGGGGGACACAGAGGACAATCTACACTCCCCGGCGCAGGCCTGGCCCACACCTGCTATCTGAAGGGGGCTTTGGATTTTGTTTTCGTTTGGGGGTCACACCTGGTGGTGCTCAGGGCGGACTCCAGGCACAGCACTAAGGAATCACTCCTGGTGGGGTTTCGGGGGACGCTATGGGATGTCAGGGATCGAACCTGGCTCAGCCACGTGCAAGGCAAAGGCCCTTCCTGCTGTATACTATTGCTCCAGTCCCAGCACTGGGTTTTGTGGCCTGGTGGCTGCTCCCAGTAATAGAGTCACAAGAGGCCGATGGTATGACTGTCTCAGCAGCCAGGGGCCACATCCCCCTCCCCTGACCCAAGCAAGGAACTTGGCAGTTTCAGAAGCTCAGAAGCTCATCGTTCTCCCAGCAGAACCAGCCCCCACTCTCCCTGCTCCCATGAGAGGGACCGACACAGGAAAGAGTCATTGCAAAGGCAGGAGTTGGGGCTAGAGACACAATCCTGGGATGTCAGGGATCGAACCTGACTGGCACACGGCCAACCTCCTACTGTCCCCCGAGTCACCAGGGGTGATCCAGGAGCACAGAGTCAAGGGGAAACCCTGAGCACAGCCGGGGGGGGGGTCTCCAAACAAACACCCCACAATTGCCTGGGCCTGGTCTCTGTTTCCCCTGCACCCAGTGCTGTGTCGCCCCCCCACCCGCTCCATCTCCGGGCCACACACACCTGTCACACGTGAAACTAGAGAGGAAGAAGAGCAGTGTGTAGATGAAGAGGGTGTAGGCCACGGCGACGATGGTGCCCAGAGGGATGGCCCGGCTGGGGTCCTTGAGCTCCCCTGGGTGACAAAGTGGTCAGACAGGGTGGCCCGGCGGCGCCCCGCCACAGCCCACCCCGCAGCCCCGCTCACCCAGCAACCCCGCTCACCTGACATGTTGGCCCCCGCCATGATGCCAGTGCAACCGTTGAAGAGGACGGCGAAGACGCTGGCGAACGTCATCATGGCACCCGTGGTGTAGTCCTTGGCGTAGCCAGCTTGGGGACCATCCCAAGACGGGGAGCCATCAGCGCCTCACCTCAGGGGCCCAGCCCTGGCCCACCCCATCAAGATGCCAAGATGCCTGCCTCACTACAGCTCTGGCCCGACCGGCCCCAACACCCCTTTCTCCCCAATTGTGCAGAACCATCCAACCTCCCTCCCTTCCTCCCTTCCTCCTTTTGGTCTTTTTGGGTCATACCCAGAGATGCTCAGGGGACCCTATAGGGTGCTGAGGATTGAACCTGTGTCCACCACATGCAAGGCCAATGCCTTGCCGGCCCCTCCCCTGCTTTCCTCATTCAGGCTCTTTCCGGGGGTGCCTCCCCTCAACTCCAGCCTGGCCCTCTGGCCCCACCATCCTTCAGGTGGGGAGTCCCAGTCCCCTTCCCCCCACGAGCAGGCCCCTCCTGTGCCCACTCACCATATAAGTTGGCTTTCAGGGTGCTGCTATTGAAGCCGGTGAAGTGGCCGAACTGGGGCAGCGGGGAGGAGCCGTTGGAGCCGGGCCGAGGGGCCAAGGGGACATCTCTGGGCCCCACAGCCACAAAGCTGACCAGCACGGAGGCCAGGGAACCGGACACCAGGAGGAAGGTGAGGAAAGAGGCGCGGGCGTAGAGGCCAGCCCCCAGGGTGCACACACCCCCCACGAGGCCCAGCAGTAGCGAGCCATACAGGAGATTCCAGCCGTAGCCCTGTGGCAGTACCCGGAGCCCGCTGGCACCCGCGGCATCTGCGGGCAAGGCAAGACGGGGTTAGGGGCTACGCAAGCCCACCCTCAGAGCAGGAGCAGGCCCCTGGGGAGGGCTCCCCCCTTGCTCACCGGGCATCCCAGCTCCACTGTACCCCAGCTTCCTGGCCTGCCCGGTGGCTCCCACCCAGTCTGCCTCTGAGTTTTGGTGGGGGCATAAGCCCGCTCCCCCCTCGCGCCCCGTGGGCAAGGACAAGCTCTCAGATATCTACACAGAGCCCGGCGGGGCGCACGGACCAGCCCCGAAGACGTCCAGCACGGCCTCCACCAATCCCAGCAGGGAGACGGCACAGCCACACACGTTGGCAAGGTAGAACATGAGGCCAATGCTGCCCCCGACCTCTGGGCCCAGGGTCCGACTGATCATGACTGAAGGGCAGAAGCAGAGGGTGAGCGTCAAGGGAAACAAGCCACGGGAGCTGGAGGCAGTGCCCCAGGGGCCCCCCCGGCCTGGTCTCCCAGCACACGCCAAGATGCTTCCCTACAGGACAGCTCCCACGGGGATAGAGTGTCCCCAACGGCTGCTCCCGAGACACGTGCCATCCCGTGCCCCTGAGCCAGCCTGGCCTCCGCTGTGCAGAGAATTGCACCAAATCGGCAGGCCAAAAAGGCAGTGAGGAAGCTGGAGTGATAGCACAGTGAGTAGGGCATTTGCCTTGCTCGCAGCCAACCGGGTTCGATTCCCAGCATCCCTTATGGTCCCCCAGCACCGCCAGGAGTGATTCCTGAGTGCAGAGCCAGGAGTAACCCCTGTGCATCGCTGGGTGCGACCCAAAAAAACAAAGCAAAATAGACAGGCAGTGGGGTGGACCCCTGAACTGCCCCCCAGCACCCCCATCCAAGGAGGAGGATACAGTAGGCTCCGCCCCCGCGCACGGCTCCATTGGTGGCGATGGCACAGACAGAGAGAACGGTGAGCGCCAGGATGAAGTAGGCGACCAGGAGCATGGCCAGAGCCTGCAGCAGGCCTGCGTGGCCAACCACGAACCCTAGGGCCAGGAGAGGCAAGGTGGGTCACCCCCAAGCCTGGACAGAGATGGATACAGCCCACGGGGAGCCCGTCCCCAGACCTCCATGCACGGGCATCCCCCCTTCCTCCAACTTCATACCTACCTTCACCCCCTGGCACCCCCAACAGAGCCCCCGCACCCACTCACCGATCCTCATGAAGACGACAATGCTGAACATGGACAGGACGGTGGGTACCACCACGCCCAGGAAAGTGGAAAGCTTCCGGACAGGTGCCCCTCCCAGACCCCCGGCCCCGTTGGCAGGGAAGGCCAGACCCTCTTCCCCCAGGAGCCGGTAGGCCAGCAGAGGGGAGTTCTCACTGGCCATGGTGGAGTGGACAAGAGGCGCCCACCAATGTGTTCTGAGGCCTGCAAAAGAGATGAGGCCCCGTGGCCCACAGAGCCCCCACAAGAAGAACACTAACCAGCACCCACAAGACTCCCCAATAGGGAAATACTCCGCAGCGACTCCCAGACACTGTTTTTGGTTGTGCATGCGCAGCCCTGCTTTGGGGGATCCACCCCTCCCCCACAGTCCCCTGCCAGGGGCAAAGATCCTCGCCCTTCTCCACTAGCGGTCGGTGCAAGAGGAAGTAAATCCGCAGAAAGGGAAGTGAGTTACCGGGAGAACGCCTATGAAGTCTCCGTGAAACCTTCAAATTCAGGCCCCCCTGGCATCCCCTTCCCGACCGGGTCAGCAAGAAACTTCCGAATCTCAGAGCCCCACCCCCCCGCGATCCTCCCTCACCCCTCCCCCGGCCCGCTCATCCCCGCCTTCCCAGCCGCTCCCACCCAGACCAGACGCCCCCCCGCAAGCCCACCAACCCAAACACACCCGAAGCACCCACCTCGGGCGGCGCCCCCCGCCGGGCCCCCTTCGCCGCACCCCGAGCCTGCCCACTTTGTCCCGGGGCCGGCCCGAGCTCCCCTCCTCCCTGCCCGCCACTCGCCCACGGCCCGCGCGCGGCGGGAGCTCACCCGGGGGGCCCCCCGGAGGACGCGGCCCCGCTCGGGGGTGATGCTCGGGAAGCAGGGGGGTCCGCTAGACGAAAAGGGGGCGCGCGTGCCGGAAAAGGCAGCGGCGGCTACCGGGATGCCAGGCCCGGAGCCTGCCTCCAACGCCGGCCGCTCATTGGTCCCCGCGCCGGGCCACGCCCCCTGGGCAGTCCCGGGAGGCCACACCCCCAGGCTTGGGTTCTGCAGCCGCCGGCGCTCCACGTGCTTCTGGGGTGCAACCTGCAGTTGCCCCGCGGGCTCATACAGAGCCCTCCCTCCCCGCAGGGTGCAAACAGACGCCGCCCCCCGGCCGACCGGACCGGACCCCGCTTGGAGCTCCGCTGAGAAGGGCGCTGGGGTGAGGGCGGAAGGCGGGGCCGCGACACCTGACCCAGGTATGCCTCGGAGAGCTCAGGGCTGCAAGGATCCCGGACTTCTGCTACTCCTTCAAGGTCTAGTACGTGCCGCGGGCTCCCGGTTTCGCCTCCTCCTCGGTCCTCCTCCGGGGACCCTCCTGCTTGCTCCCAGCCCACTATTAGCCCGGCCGCGCTCTTCGCCGTGGCCACCGGAGGGCACCATTGGCCGCTGATGCCCGCGAGCTGGAGAGGTCCAGGTCCGGCCGCTTTGTGTCCTCGACCGCCCGCTTTCAGGCCTCGGAGATGACATTATCCACCGACCCGACCGAGGACCCGTCACTCAGGTCCCGTCAGCATCAGCACCAGCTCAAAACGCTCCCACGTCTGTGAAATGGGCATTAACCAGAACCTCCCCTTGAGAGCTCCGTGAAGCAGTGGGCGCCAGAGAACAAAGCCAGAACGTCCAGGGGTCCCCCCCACCCCCCCGCCTCCGGGCAGGGTGAGGATACTGTGACACTGTAGAAGCACCCTGCCAGGCAGATGCCGCTGTGATCTCCTTTTCTCACATTAGGAAACCAGCCCTCGGAGTTCCATAAAACATTCCTAACGTGTCGGGGCGCGCGAGTCCCCCCTTTTCCTGCCCTGATCGCGGGATTTAGATTATCCAAGACATTTCTCTAGGACCAGCAGGGACTCGAACCAGCCCAAATGTGGCTTGGCAGGTAGAGGTCGAACAGTGAAACGGGTCACTCTCTGTTATCCGCTGCAACGTTCCTGTCTGCACTGGTGGTTTTGGGTTTTGTTTTGTTTTTGTTTTTTTTCTGGGGGGGTGGGGAGTCACACCAGTGATGCTCAGGGGTTAGTCCTAGCTCTGCACTCAGGAGTCACTCCTGGCGCTGTTTGGGGGACCATATGGGATGCCAGGGCCCAACCCGGGTGGGCTGCGTGCAAGGCCCGCTGTACTATTGCTCCAGCCCCACTGGTGGTTTTAACATCCACACTGAGGCAGCTGTCATTCCTTTCTGCCTCTTCTTCCCCTCCAGCCTCCACCCTCCCCAAGAATTTGCCACTACTGGCCTCAGCAGTAAAAGCAGCCCTTTCCTCTTCCTGCTCAGGTTGGCCTGGGGGGAAAAACTCCTCTGACCTTTCCTAAATCTGCAAGGACTGTTGTAATAGGTGTGGGGACAGAGGAAATGGGGTGGGCTGGGATTAAGCTAGACTCCCTCCCGGCACAGCAGAAATGGAAAGGATGGAAAGGCAGAATGGGGGGGGGGGGGGATGAAGAGGTGGCAGCAAGACCAGAGAAGTTCTTGCTACACTGATTCAGGATTCTTGCCAAAGGCTGTGAGCAGTGGTTCTCCGGGAAGGGCACTCACTTTGCACACGACTGGACTGACCCTGGGTCCTGGTTCCATCCCCGCATCCTCTGTGTCCCTTCTCCCTCACAGCACCGCCAGGAGTGATTCCTGAGCACAGAGTCAGGAGTAACCCCAGAGCATCCTCTGGTATGACCCCAAGACTAAAAAAAAAAAAGGAAGGGAAAGGGGACTAATTTCTAATTTTTGCTCAAGAGTCCTTGTTGGGCCAGAGTGATAGCACAGCAGGGAGGGCATTTGCCTTGCACACGACCGACCTGAGTTCAATCCCCAGCATCCCATATGGTCCTCCAGGAGTAATTCCTGAGTGCAAAACCAGGAGTAACCCGTGAGCTTGGCTAGGTGTGGCCCAAAGAAGCAAAAAAAAAAAAAAAATTGTCCTTGTCTTACCCAGCAGCGATTCCTCACCTCACTGAACCCCAACTCCTGTCCTCTTGCCACTGTGCCCCCAAAAACTCACTTCCCTTCTCACCCAGTTTAAAGTTCAAAGCCAAAACCCAGATCCCCTCCCCCATTACACTCCTGGCAAACCACAGCCTTATAAACCTGCTGAGTTGGCCCTCTGCCTGCACAGTCTCCTGGGGCCCAGAAACACCCCCGAGCCAGACCCTTCAAAAGCGTGACTGAGGGCCTCCAAGGCCTCCGGGCTGGGCAGGTTCTTGGTTGATTCCTGCAAGGCTCCCTGAGGCCTATTAAATCCCTGTCCCTTCCCTGCCCCTTCACCTTTCTCTCCCAGCCTTCAGGCCCAGTTTGCTGAGAAAACAGGAGCCCTCAGAATAGCTCCCCACTCAGGCCTGTCTTTGCTCCCACAAGCTGATGTTCCTTCAAGAGCTGGTCAGGCCACTTCTGTACCTCATTGCTTTTGCACACCAGTCATTCCCAGAACTACAATTTACTTCTCTCAGAAAAATAGGAGGTGGGCTGGAGCAATAGCACAGCAGGTAGGGCGTTTGCCTTGCACGCAGCCAGCCCGGGTTCGATTCCCAGCATCCCATAAGGTCCCCTGAGTAGTGCCAGGAGTGACCCCTGAGCATCGCTGGGTGTGACCCCAAAGAGAAAAAAAAATAGGAGGGGATGGTGGAGAGAGTACAGAGGGAAGGGCACTTGCCTTGCTCGTTAAGTCTCCAGCACCTCAGAGACTGCCAGGTGAAAAAAAAGGGCTGGGGATATATTTCAGCAGATACAGTGTGTTGCCTTGTACCTGACCAAATCAGGTTTAATCCTGGGCATCCCGTATGGTTCCCTGAGTACTGCCAGAAATAATTTTTACTGAGTATAGAGCCAGGAGTGACCCCTGAGTGTTGCCAGGTGTGGCCCAAAAAACAAGAAAGAGAGAAAGGGGGGATGGGGTGGAGAAATATTATTGGGGATGAGGCACTTGCCTTGCATGTAGCTGACCCAGGTTTGATTCCCACTGTAGCATGTGAAAAAATATAGGGGCCTAGTGGGGCTGGAGTGATAGCACAGCGGTAGAGCGTTTGCCTTGCATGCGGCTGACCCCGCCGGCCCGGGTTTGATTCCTTCGCCCCTCTCGGAGAGCCCAGCAAGATACCGAGAGTATCTCGCCCTCACGGCAAAGCCTGGCAAGCTACCCTGATGTATTCAATATGCCAAACACAGTAACAAGAAGTCTCACAATGGTGATGTTACTGGGCCGGCTCGAGCAAATCGATGAACAACTTTGAGGACAGTGACAGTGACCTTAAAGCAGGTAAGATGCTTTGGCTGGAGAGACAGTACAGTTGGTAGGGTGCCTTATATAAACCCCACCCAGGTTCGATCCTCGGCATCCCATATTGTCTCCCAAGCACCACTAGGAGTAAGTTCTGACTGCAGAAGTAATCCCTAAGGAAAAAGAAAATGAAATGGAGTAACCCCTAAACATTGCTGGGTGTGACCCCAGAAACAAACAAATAAAAAAAAAAACTTGCATGGAACCAGTCCCTTTTCAATACCTGATGCCACATGCAGTCCCCTACCACTGCCAGGAGAGAGCACAGAGACAGGAGTAGCCCCTGAGCACTGTGGATGTGCCCCTAAAACGGAAAAAAAATCTTGAGTCCACCCCTACACACACACACACACACACACACACACATACATACACACACAAACACAAACACACACATTTCATGCATCATACACCATTTCATTGTTTTCTTCGTAGGTTGTGGCTCTGGCTGTCTCCAAGCCCATCCCCTATCCTGCCCACCACACTGAGTTTGGCTTCAGCAAGAGGGAAACTCACCAAATCATGGTCTCCCACTGGTCAGCCCAGCAGCCAAAGCTCATTCTCACCTCACTGACAAACCACATCCTTGGACAAACTTCTTCACTCAGTTCCCTTCCTTCCCTTTTTGGGATGTAGGACCACACCCAACAGTGCTCAGGGCTTACTCCTGTCTCTGTGCCCAGGCCATGCTAGGAATACCCTATGGGGTTCCGGGAATCGAACCTGGGTCAGCTGCACGCAAGGCAAGGGCCTTACCTGCCCTACTACCTTCTGCGTTTCCAGCTCTTTATTAGTTCTGGAACTTGGCTGTCTCACCTTACCTCTGAAGCACCCCACGGGGCTGTTGAAAGAACAATGAAGAGCACCTGAGGCTAAGTCCCCGTCTTCTTTTTCTCAGCCACTCCCTTGGTGATCTCATTCGATTTTATGGCTTCAATATTACCTATATCATAGGCCCACAGCTCCTGCCCAGGTCCTTCGCCACTCTACTGAAGTCCGAGCACCTGTTAACCTTATCTCCACTTGAATGTCAGATCAGTTCAGAGCTGGTGTGTCTAAGGCAAACTCTTGAGGAATGCAGATAGTTATCATGTGACCCAGCCATCCCACTTCCTGGGACCTGTCGAAGAATGTGAAAACAGTAACATAAAAAGTTACATCCATGGGGACTGGAGCAAAAGGGAAGTTCGTATTGCACATGGCTGACCCTGATTCCATCCCCAGCACCCTATCTGGTTTTCCCTGGCAGCACAACTGGGAGTATTTAGTTCATAAATGCAGAGCCAGAAGAAATCCCTGAGGAGCTGGAGGGATAGCACCAGCGGGTAGGGTGTTTGCCTTGCATGCGGTTGACCTGGGTTCGATTCCCAGCATCCCATATGGTCCCCCGAGCACTGCCAGGAGTGATACCTGAGTGCAGAGCCAGGTGTAACCCCTGTGCATCAATAGGTGTGACCCAAAAAGAAAAAAAAAAGAAGTAAACCCTGAGCATTGGTGGATGTGACCCCCCCCCAAAAAATTAGATGATTTCCCCCCAGGTGCGTGCCAAATGAAGGCGCTGAGCCAGTTCAAGCCCCTCCTCCGTAGCCCCCCTCCGTGGGATGCCCACTTCTGCCCTTGCCAAATTTAGTGCACTTTCATTAGTGCAGTCAGAGTG